GGGACAGCAGGGCAGACCCTACAATGAGAGGCTACGGGACCTGAACCTGTTCAGCCTTCACAAGAGAAGGCTGAGGGGGGACCTGGTGACCATCTATAAACTCACTATGGGGGACCAGAAGGGTTTGGGGGAGACCTTGTTTCCCCCAGCGCCCCCGGGATAACAAGGAATAACGGCCACAAGTTGTTGGAGAGTAGGTTTAGATTAGACATCCGTAAGGACTACTTCACAGTCAGGGTGGCTAGGATCTGGAGCCAACTTCCAAGGGAAGTGGTGCTGGCTCCTACCCTGGGGGTCTTTAAGAAGCGGCTTGGTGCCTACCTGGCTGGGGTCATTTGAGCCCAGTTTTCCTCCTGCCCAGGCAGGGGGTCGGACTTGAAGATCTACAAGGTCCCTTCCGACCCTACTTCTTTGATTCTAATTTATCCTGAATGTTTACACCTGTCCAGGCTTACAGATAGCAAACAATGTCTCTCCAGCATCAGACTACCTAACTCCTACTATCACCCCTCATCAACACGGGTCACATAATCACTGAACCAAACAACATGGATTATAACATTATTATAACATCTGTTCCTCTACCTGCCCTTCTACCACTGGCATAATGCCATCACCTACTTACAGTGCTCTTCTGCTGTCTAGATTGGACATTCCCTACGTGAAAGTACAAATGGACACTGATCTGACATCAATTCCAGAAGGATACAAAAGCCAAAAGAATACAAAAGATGTTTTAACTTCCCTGGTCATTCCATCACTGAGATCAGAGTAACTGTTCTTAAAACAAAAAAATTTTAAAAACCAACTTGAACGTGAGATTGAGGAACAAGAATCATCCACAGACTGGATTGTGTTAAATAATGGTCTCAACAAAGACTCTAGATTTTTATCCTATTATTTCAATGACCTTTTATAATCCCTATGACCTCAACAGTCTAACCACTTTATGTATTCCCTTCGATCCTCACTTTCTCTTCTCTGAACATCACCCCCTCCTTTCCTTCCCCTTTCCCTATCCTTTGTATTTCAATAACCTTATTCCTTTCTGTTTGGTACCAGTGTTCTCTTTAAGTCCATTCATAGCATCTGTCAAAGTAAGCTGTAGTTTACAAAAGCTCATGCCTCTCTGAATGAGTTAGTCTATAAAATGAGAGAAGTAGTTACCTGTATTAGTCCGAAGTCGGGTAGAAGGTAAGGTAAAAATGCACCCCATAGACTGAGTCAGAGATGCACAACCTCTTGTGAGCAAGAGCTCACTTCATCAGATGATGCCCTGCCTTCAGTCTATAAAGAGCCATGCTGCCTTGCCTTCTGCCTAATTTCAGACTAACATGGCTAACTCTCTCTTGCTACCGTAAGTTAGAGCAGTGTGGAGCCCCTCTTCCAGAAAAGAATAAGAAGAGAGCAGAGATGCTCTGCCCTGCCCCTTCATGCCTGGGGGATGTTGGAAGTTGCAAGCTTTCTGTCAGCTAAGATGTGGGAATTCTTAGTCGGCCAGTTAGGGCCAGATTCTTGCTACTTTATGGTATGAAGTAGCTGGGTGTAAGGAGAGCATCAGATGCAAGATGCCCAAACTTTAAAACTCAACCTCAGCATGGAATTGCTCTTGGAATGCTCAAAAACTGCTCAAACTGCATGTACTCAAAGTGCTCTTCACAAAGTTTCACAAAAAAGGTCAGAATTATGTGCTCCTATAATTGCCTGAATGGCTAAGTCATCCTCTTCCCATTAAAGTCAATGGGTGTTTCTTGCCATTCACTTCAGCTGGTATAGCCTTGGGGCTCATGAGTGCATTAGAAATGGTTTGTTAACCTGAATTTCTGCTTTGTATCCTACAGGCTGTTTCCTGATGCACTCCATTACACCCTACAAAGAAAAATGCTACTGCTTAGCAACAGTCACAGGCAAGAAACCCAGATGATTATCCTATGCTGTGGAGAGGCAATACAACTTTCCTTAGCTTGCAAATAGTAGCTAGTGCACCAGCTGGATATATCCCTTTGAAATAGACTGTCTAGTGTCAAACAAGAACTACATATGAATACTGTAGTGTGGGACAGGTTCTTGGAATGGCTTCCTGTGGAAAAACTGATTGCTGGAGCACAGTGTCTTCTGTTCAAAGTATCCTTGGCAATACAAAATATATTGTAAGCTTAGTATGGAGAAAGAAGTTGAGGCCAGAGGGAAAACAGTTTAAACAGGAAACCCACATTTCAGAACTCTGGATCTGTAAAGCAGGAGCATATACAGCTCCTTTTTCATTGCTGCTGCTATTTAGCTTAACTTCTGATTATTTGCTTTTGTAATGGGATGTATATTTGCAAAGGATCAGCCCACATACAAGCCTCATTTAATGTCCATTCACAACCATTTGCACCACATTACAAGCTCATTTACAAAACGAATGTGAAAACAAATGAGAGTCTTGTGGAAAGCCTTTCTGAGCCTGTGTGATTACAGCTGTATGCAACAGCTCATAAATGGTCCCAGCTAGAGACTATGGTTAAATATTACAGCACAGGAGCTTGTCATTTCCTTAACCAGAATGCAGTGTGTGTATTTCTATTGCCCTTTTCCTGATGCTGTTCAGCCAGAGAATTCTTTCTAGAGCAGTCATCTTAAAAGCCACATAGCTCCTTTGGAACAGCTCATAAATACTGTCATCTTTAAAAAATGCCATTGTGCTATGAAACAGTGTTACAAATAGCAGCGGTAACAAGCTAGTGTACTACACCAGCCCTAAAATGCAGAGGAAAATGAAAACCAGAGTCTCAAACAGTCATGCTGGCAGGTGAGTTATAAGAGCAACAGCACAAGCTTAGTTAATGGGATATTATCCTGCTCTCAGCCTGTTACATTGAAACATGCCACTTCCCATTTTGTTTCCATCTCAAGACCCAGATGTTCTCTGTGCTGCCATTAAAGCCCTTTTTACTCAGGTATTCAACTCCCCTTGCATTGAAGACAATCTCCGTCTTTTCTCATATGTCAGTTAATGCCAAATGGGAAGAGTGTTTCTTTTTGCAGAGATCTCTCAACATAATAAAAAAAAACAAACCCTTTCTGCACAGAAGTGATGGTAATCATAGAGAAGTAGGGCTGGAAGGGACCTCCATACATTATCTAGTAGGGCAGTGCGCAATTTCACCCGCTGTTCTGTTTCAACTTGTTTCAAGCTCGAAACAGTGAAATCAAAATGAAACAAAGGGGTTTGAAACAACCTCAAAACAAAACGAGGGCAGTCGAAATGTTATGAAAGTTTTGAAACTTTTTGAGTTTCAAAGTTGAAGCTGGGGTTTCCTGCAGGGAAACAGGAAGTAAGGAGACGGATGGGGAAGAGGGGGGAAGGACTGCTCTGATATTGACTGTGTAGCTGGCCAGTGACTGTCATCGTTCCCTGAGGTCCCTTCCAATCCCAGTGCTCTGGGGGAGGGATGGAAAAACAGCATAAAAGGCAGCATTGTTTGAACTGGCTTGCTTTCTACCTTGGGGTCTGACAGTTACTGAGCTATCTTCCAGCAGCTCAGGAGCATTAGACAACAAAGGCTACTGCTACCATTGATTTCCTACTTGCTAGCCTAGCAAGTGCAATTCCACAATACCTTTTGCTTTCTTTCAAAAATATATAATATTTTATTATTATATTCATTGATTTATTATTTTCAATTTCATAATTATATTGCATATTATAATATAGGATTTATATAGGAAGACACATATACGTTTATATATTTTTATAAAGACAAGACATTATGAAACACGCCATGAAGTGTGCTGGAAAGGCAGCTGGCAAGCCTTCAGGGAGGGGCAGAAGAGGGGGGTAGAAGAAGAGGTAAGTTCCTTCCCCCCCACATTGAGACAGCCTCTTTGCTGCAACAAGCAGGCATGAGGCTTCCACTAGTACAGGCAGCAAGGAGAGGGGAGCAGTGCCAGTGCCACTGCCTGTGCCTGAGTCTGCATCCCCTCAAAGAACACCAGCCATAACCCCCACCACCACCATGACAACGAGCAGCAGCACCAGCATGACCGTCTCCTCCACTCCCATTTCACTTCCCATGGTGAGCCTTCCAGTGCCAGAGGAAGAGCTGGATCTGGATCTGAGTGCCCTAGCAATGAAAATTCTGGGGAAAAAGGGGGAATCATCTGAGTTTGTACTCCACACCCCTCAAGTTTCCCCTAGAGCCAAGTCTCCTTCCACAGAAGACACTTCAGAGGAGGCTGAGGTAGAGGTTGCAGAGGCAAGTGGCTCAGCTGTCTTCCTGTTGCTGTGCTGTGCCTGCTGAGGAGGGGGAAATTGCAGCATCCACACATGCACCCACACCCCAGAATTGAGCAGGTAGTGTAGTCTGGGATCATTCTGAGCTGGCAGATGATCGCACATAGGCTATCTCTCTGCACTGCTGAGCCAAAACCAGGTGGGGCAAGGGAACAAAACACATGAGCACCACAGGCATGCTGATGCATCTCTGCAGGCACCACCCCCTTGCCCTTGCTCCTCCTCATCCTGGCACCAGTGGGAGCATGCCAAAAGGGAAGCCCCTCTCTCACTATAAAGCCCCCGTCCTGCCAAAGCAGAGGCAGGTCACCCTGGATCAGTGGGGGGAAAGGTGGATGGAAAGCAGGGCACATTGCAAGGGCAAGTGAGATCACCCAGAGCACTGGGGAGATGCTTGCTGTGGATAGCTAGCCCTTCTCCTTAGTTGGGAGGCCAGGGTTCAGGCAGCTCATGGCACTTGTTGCCCCATCATACCAAATGCCTGCACACAC